AGGAATCTATTTCCTGTCTCTGCGGATGTGCCTATTCTGGACATTTCTACCAGTGGAGTTACATGTCGTATCTGGCTTCTCTCACTCAGCGTCATGTATTTGAGGCTCATCCACATATAACTGCCTCACTATGTTTTGGGGGGTTTTTTTGAGTCAGGGTCTCACTCTATTGTCCAAGCTGGAGTGCAGTGGCACAATCACGCCTCACCGCAGCCTCCACCTGGAGAGTTCATGCAATCCTTCCACTTCAGCCTCCCAAGTAGCTGGAATTACAGTTCTGCACCACTATGCCCAGCTAATTTCTTGATTTATTGTAGAGACAAGGTCTTGCCAAGTTGCCCAGGCTGGTCTCGAACCCCTGGGTTCATGCAATCCTCTCACCTCCGCTTCCCAAAGTGCTGGGACTACAGGTGTGAGCCACTGCGCCCTAATAAATTTCTGTGGAGACCAGGTCTCACTATGTTGCCCAGGCTGGTCTTGAGTTCCTGGGCTCAAGCGATCCTCTTGCCTTAGCCTCCCAAGTTGCTCAGTTGATTTTCAACAAAGCTGTCACTGTCCCACACTAGAAAGAAAGTCCTCATCATAGATATTTCAGAAACAACTGGGCAACCATATGAACAAAATTGAACTTCAACCACACACCACATACAAACAAGTGGGCCATAGACCATGCCACCATTTGAATGTTAGCCCCCTCTAAAACACAAGTTGAAACTTAACCCTCAGTGTGGCTTCACTGAGAAGTGCGGCCTTTAGGAGGTGATCGGGTTAGGGGGATTCTGTCGTCAGGAATGAATCCATTCACCAATGAATGGGTTAATGGGTTATCATGAAGTGAGTCTGGTGGCTTTATAGGAAGTGGAGTTATAGGACTATGTGACATCCTGTGCCCACTTGGGACTTTGCAAATGTCCCACCACAGAGTTCCCACCAGCAACAAGGCCCCCACCAGGTGCACCTCTCGGCCTTGTACCTCCCATCCTCCAGAACTGAAGAAATAAGTTCCTTTTCTTTATAAATTACCCAGTTTCAGGTATTCTGTTAAAAGCAACAGAAAACAGATTGAGGAGACCCAAAACAAAAACTAAAGTCAGTAGATCCTTTGGGGGTTCCTAAGAGTGTTAGGTTTTCACACTCATGTGAAGTGTGCCTCCCTCAAACCTTCTTATGACAACAGCATGTGATCCATCTGATGTGAAAAAAATATACATATGTTCAGAAGAGACCAGGCGTGATGCCTCACACCTATAATCTCAGCATTTTGGGAGGTTGAGGCAGGAGGATCACTTGAGTCCAAAAGTTTGAGACCAGCCAGACAATATATCAAGATCTTGTCTCTACAAAAAAATTTTAAAAGTAGCCAGATATGGTGGCACGCATCCCAGCTACCTGAGAGGCTGAGAGAGAAGATTCACCTGAGCCCAGCAGGTCGAGGCTGCAGTGAGTCGTGGTCATGCCACTGCACTCCAGCCTGGGTAACAGAGTAAGACTCTGACTCAAAAAAAAAAAAAGATATTCAGAAGAAAATTGACAACATCTTTGCTTTACAAACCTGGATTCAGAAGATATTGCCTCCGTAAGAAACACAAGGGGCCAGGTGTGGTAGCTCATGCCTGTAATCCCAGCATTTTAGGCCAAGGTGGGAGTATCACTTGAGCCCAGAAGTTTGAGATCAGCCTAGGCAACACAGCAAAACCCAGTCTCTAATTATAAAAAAAAGAAAAAAATTTCCATTAATTGGGCTTCAGAGGAATTTAAATGTCTGTTCTTTGTTGTTTTTGTTTTTTGAGTTAGAGTCTCACTCTGTCGCCCAGGCAGGAGTGCAGTGGCATACTCATAGCTACCACAGCCTCGACCTGTAGAGCTCAGGCAATCCTTCCGCCTTAGCCTTCCTGTAGTTGGGACGTACGTACAACCACGCCTAATTTTTTTTTTTAATTTATTGTAGGGACAAGATCTCATCAAGTTTCCCAGGCTGGTCTCAAACCTCTGGGCTCAGGTAACGCTCTCACCTTGGCCTCCCAAAGTGCTGGGATGACAGGCATGAGCCACCGCACCTGGCCTAAATGGCTGTTCTTTGAATGACATGGTAAGAAAGCGAAAGGTCAGCCACAGAATAAGAAAAGTATTCCCAATGCACAGACAAAGGGCTGTCCCAGAATATACAGAAAGTGGGCACAAAACAAGGCTGCTGTGGTTACCCAGAGGACAGATGCCACTCCAGCATGCGATCAGCCTTTGAGAACGATGGGGGTGGTGACTTTCACCCAGCTGGCCACCAAACAGCCCAGCCTCCCGGCCGGTGCCTGAAAACTGAGTGTTCCCAAGTTGATGAGACTAAGAAAAGAGGGGGCCGTCCTGTCTGGGAGCATCCACAGTCTTCCCAGGGGCTCCAGCACATCTTCTCCTGAGGCTTGAATGCTGAAGAGGCAGCACAGACTCCAGCCACACCCAGTCTTGTGTCCGTAGAGCCACACAGGTGGCCCAGAGACCCAGGGTCTGGAAGCAGGCAGGGTACAGAATCGCACAGGCTACATTGCAGTGGCACCATCATAGCTCACTACAGCCTAGACCTCCTGAGCCCAAGTGATCCTCCCACCTCGGCCTCCCAAGTAGGTGGGACTACAAGCAGCATCTTGTCTGGGCATTTTTTGCAGAGAAAGGGTCTCACTATGTTGCCCAGGCTGATCCTTAACTCCTGGGCCCAAGCGATCCCCTGCAGGGACTCTGCCTCTGTGGCACACCCACAGAGTAAAGGGGTAATCCCACTGAATCCACACAGCAGCCTCAAGTCAGGGCCCAACAGGGTCTTGGACTTACCCAACAGTTGAGGAAACAGGCAAGAGGCAAACATTAGGCAAAAGGTAGGGCCGTGCGTGAACTTTCAGAGTCCAGCTGGGTCAGGGCTCTCAACCCAGTTCTTCCTGCTCCATCACCTGGCCTCAATGTCCCCCTCTGTAAAGTGGACCCCGGCTCTAGCCTGGCTCAGCCATGTCCACGGTGCTGTGTGCCTCTGGATACACCATGGGCCATTTCTGGCCCACCCAATCAGCAGTGGAATAAAGCTCAGGAGCCGAAAGTGCAGGGTGGGAGGCTTTATTTCACTGTGGGGCAGGAAGCTCGAACGGGGGCAGCAGGCGGGGCAAGAAGGGCTGGCACTCAGGCAGGGATGAGGCAGGGGAAGGGCTGCCCCCAGGGCCTGCTGAGAGGGAGGAACTGAGGCCGGCCCGGTTGAGACCTAACCCAGGGGGACTGGGAGAAAAACTGGGTCTGCAGGAATGAGGGCCCCCTCTCTCTGGGCCAGGGCCCCACCTCACTTTCCTCCTCCAGGGCCTCAGTCCCCCTGCTCGCTGGGCTGTGCGATCCCCAATCCTTACTGCCCCAACCTGGAGGAGGGGGCTGGGACAGGGAGGGCAGTGGGCAGGGAGCCTGGGGGATTAGGGAGCGCAGGGTAGGATCCATGGTGTGCAGAGGGGGCAGCGGCCACCCAGGTGGTCAGTTCCTGGCAGCGATGACCACAGAGAGAGCCACACCCCCCAGGGCGACGGCAGTTGCCCCAAACAGCCACTTCCATGGGATGGACTGTGGACACAGAGGAGGAGAGATATGGCAGGGGGGCAGTCAGGACTAGCCTCTGGGGCCTGAGCTGCCAACGCAGCCCAAGCAGTCACTGCCTGCCCCTTCCTTTCCCATCTCCTAGCTAACTTGTACACATGCAGCAAAACCTAAACCAAATGTTCCCTTCCTCCGGAACACCTCCCCTCCTACTTGGCAAGAGCTTCCGCTTCCCACCCTGAGCCCTCCAGCAGGAGTTCCACCTTCTGTCTGGCCCAGGTCACCAGGGCTGGGGCTGCTCTATGTCCCCACATCTCCCAGCACAGCCAAGTTGCTGAGGGCATCCAAGTTCACAGAATGAACGCAGTCCCTCTGCTCAGTGTGCCCTGCCCAAAGCCCCAGACCCTCCCCCAGCAGCCCCGGCTCACCCAGGCACCCTTGCCAGGACATTTGGTGGGCAGCCGGCTGGGGTTGCCCAGCATTTTTCGGTACAAGGCGGTCTCGGTGCTCCGCTGAGCCGCATGCTTCTTCACCAGCTTCGAAAGCTCCGCATGAATGGTCTGCGGGAGGACACAAGTTGGGCTAATGGCACGCGGTGGCCATCCTAACTGTCACTGCCAGAGCTCCACCCTTCTGGGACCTGAGTAGCATGGGTGCTGGGACCACCGCGACATGGGGGTTCCATCTGCCCCTCTGGGTCTCGGCAGAGTCGGGGCTGCCAACTCCCCCCACTGGGGGAGCCAGTGGGCAGGAGAGGGCACAAGGTGGCCAGGAAAGAGAAGGTTCTGGGAGGAAGGCAAGGATGCAGGGATGGGGTCTGCTGGAGGGGTGAGCCCAGACCGCCCCTGTGGCAGTCAGAAGGGTCTTATCAAGCTGGCTGGAGCCCTTCGGGTGCCCACTGCCTGCCACTGCCCGGGTGGGGAACACCACAGAAAAAGACCTGGGCCAGACCGCAGGAGGGACTTCCCACACAGGCCAGCAAGGCAAGTCCCTGGTGCACCACTGTCCTGCTCACCTTGTTGGAAGGTTCCAGCTTCAGGGCCGCCCTCAGGATGGGGATGGCCTCACTGTACTCGCCCTGCTGAGCCAGCACCTATGTGGGGACAGGAGTGGCGTCACTCTGGACCCCTAGGCTGACTTTCCTTCAAGAGCCCAAGACCTTTAACCAAGTGAAGTGGCTCACGCCTGTAATACCAGTGCTTTAGTAGGCCAAGGAGGGAGGATCATTTGAGTCCAGGAATTAAAAACCAGCCTGGGCAACATCATCTCTACAAAAAAATTAAAAAGTTAGCCAGGTGCGGTGGTGTCTATAATCCTAGTTACTTGGGTGGCCGAGGCTCGGGATGTTGAAGTTGTGGTGAGCCGTGATCATGCCACTGCACTCCAGCCTGGGCAACACAGTGAGACACTGTCTCTAAAATTAAAAGGAAAAAAGACCCAGCCCTGCCAGGCTCCTAGCCGCAGTGACAAGTTCCAAATCCATCTCTAGCCATGGCCCCAGGGCTCAGAGGCTGCACCACGCCCAGCTCTGCCCTGTCGACCCAGGAGCTCCTCTCCTGCCTTACGTGTCACCTCGGTCTGAGCAGGAGACCCAGGCACCCACCTGGCTGCCTCCTTCCTTCAATAGCTCGCCAGCTGGAGGCCAAAAACTTTGGCCACAGGGAATGATCCAGGGCCAGGCAAGTGCCCCAAGTTAGCCAATGAGATCCACTGGAGACTGGCTGCCAAGCAAGGAGGATGGAAGGTTGGAGCTTTTGGGAGGCATTGTGGTCACCCAGGGAGAAGCCAGCAACAGGGAAGCCAGCAGCAGACAGACACAGCACTCCCACCACAACTCGAATGCCTGGATCCACCTGTGCCTGCCTGAAGCCAGCTACCCCAACTTGGCAGGTCCATGAGCCATCAATTACCTTTTTTTATTTTTTGGTTTGGTTTTTTTGAGTGGGAGTCTCACTCTGCCACCCAGGCTTGAGTTCAGTGGCATGCTCACAGCCACTGTAATCTCGATCTGCTAGATTCACGTGATCCGTCTGCCTCAACCTTCCAAGTAGCTGGAACCACAAGCGCACACCACTATGCCTGGCTAACTTTTTTTTTTATTTATTGTAGAGCCGAGGTCTTGCCAAGTTGCCCAGGCTGGTCTCAAACCCCAGGACTCAGGCAATCCTCTTGCCTCTGTCTCCCAAAGCGCTGGGATTACAGGTGTGAGCCCCCATGTCCGGTCCCCATGTTTTTTTTTTTTTTGAGTTGGAGTCTCACTTTGTCACCCAGACCAGAGTGCAGTGACACAATCATGGCTATTGCAGCCTTGACCTCCTGGGCCCAGGCCATCCTCCTGCCTTGGCCTCCCAAGTAGCTGGGACTATAAGTGGATGCCACCATGCCCAGCCAATTTGATTTTTTGTAGAGCTGGGGGTCTTGTTGTGTTGCTCAGATTGGTCTAAAACTCCTGGGTTCAAGTAATCCTCCTGCCTCGGCCTCCCAAAGTGCTAGGATTACAGGCAAGAGCCACAGAGCCCAGACTAATCCTTCCTTTTTGCTCGAACCTGCTTGAGTGGTTTTCTGTCACCTTCAGCCAGCAAGTCCACAACTTCCATGAGGTTACACAATCAGCTGCTCTCACTGCCCAAGAGAACTCAACCCCCAGGAGGATTGCAAAGGTTCTGAAACAGGAACAGCATCTTCTTCCTCCCCACGTTTCTCTGCAGTTCTGCACACATTGGTGCCTAATAAATGCTGGCTAGAAGCTGGGCATGATGGCTTACACCTGTAATCCCACCCAACACATTAGGAGGCGGAGGAGAGAGGACTGCCTAAGCTCAGGGGTTCAAGACCAGCCTGCGTAACCTGGTGAGAGCTCATCTCCATAATAAATCAAAAATAAGCCGGGTGTGGTAGCACACGCCTGTGGTTTCAGCTACTTGGAAAGCTGAGGCAGAAAGGATCACCTGAGCCCAGCAGGTCGAGGCTGCGGTGGCTGTGAGTGTGACCCCACAGGAAAAGAGAGTGAGATTCTGACTCAAAAAAAAAAAAATGCTGGCTAAAGGAAGCCCATGTTCAGGCCTCTCACAAGCATGCCAGGTGACCCAGTGTGTTTGCTAAAAGGTGCTAAGGCCCACCCCCACCCAGGGTTGCTGTCAGGATGAACAGAGATAGGGTAACAGCAATCAAGTCTGTATGGGCTACAGTACCCCTGTGTTCCGCCGGGACTTTTACTGAGCAGCTGTGTGCTCAACTCTCTGCAAGGTTGAAGATTCAACAGTGAGTGAGACAGACCATCTCCCCACCTTCCAGCAGGGAGATGAATGAGACATGTCACCCCCGTGTGTTCCTGAAGATGGTGACAGAGGAAACACGAAGATGGGGCGGGGTGACGAAAATGGCAGGGAGGAGATAGCACCAGAGCGAAGACTTGTACCAGGCCAGAGAGGAATCCACACAGGTACCTGGGGTATGCACAGTCCAGGCAGAGGGCACAGCCTATGCAAAGGCCTTGGGGTGGGAGCTGAGCCGGCCTGGACAGCAAGCAGGAAAGATGCAAGTGGCATGATGAGGTGAGAGAGGTGATGGCAGGAGGGAGACTGCCAACCAAATGGCTCAGGGCCTTGAAAGCTGTGACTAAGACACAGCTTTTAGTATGAGGAAGATGGAAGCCATGGAGGATTATATGCAAGTAGTATTCACTGGACCAGAGGTGGGAGAGCCTCAGCGCATGAACTGCTGTGACCCAAGCTTCGCCCCTGTGCCTGTTTGGGTCCCAGCTTCTCCATCTATACTCCAGAGAGCACAGCTGGCAGATGCCTATGCCTTCTTCAAATCCAGGGCTGGGGAGCAGCCTGCCCACAGACCAGCATCCTGGCCCACCTTGCCCTTGCGGAAGAGCGCCTTGATGTTGTCGGGCTGATGCTCTAGCACAAGGCTGCAGGAGCGCAGGGCCGCGCGGTAGTGGTCCAGCTTCAGCTGCGAGGCCGCCAGGTTATTCAGACACTTCACCTTCAGTTGCAGGAGTTGCTCCTCCTCCTCGAATGTCATGTCCACTGTGGGGAGTGGAGCCCAGCATGATCACCCGCAGGCCCTCACACCGCCTCTCTGCAGATGGCTGCCTTCCATCCCAGGCACCTCAGGCCTTAGTTTCCCCATCTCTAACATAGTACCCAGGGCTACACCTTCCCCAGGGAGCTCCCAAGGGGTCTGCAAAAAGGAGCCTTAACAAATGGAGGGCCTGACCCATGAGGCATATGGACCCATGTTCAGGACACTCCACCGTCTGAGATATACCACAAGCTTGGTCTGTAGATTGGGGACAGCTGGGTATCTAAGTATGTTCTGGAACATTCTAGAATATTCTGTGTCTGAGGAGAGGTTTCTGGCACTAAGAATAGACCTCTCTGTGGGGGAGGGGGCAGGGACCCGCCCGGTGGTCACCTTTGGCGCTGGAGGTGATGGCCTTGATGGCGAGGTCGTAGGAGTTGGCGGCCAGCACAAAGTCCGCACGCTGGTAGTGGGCATTGCCACACTCCCGCTTCCGGTTGGCCAGGGCCACGCGCTCCTGCCCCGTGAGTGTCTCCAGGTCGGGTCCATCCACGGCCATCTTCAGAGTCACCTCCAGGCACAGGGCTGCATGCGGGGGGATGTAGGGGCTCCTGCTGGGGATGGGGTGGGCGAGGGGCAGTCAGACTGGGAGACCCCCAGGTTTGGCCCAGGGCAGGCGGACGGGGAGAGCTGAGGGGGACCCCGTGGGTGGCGCTCACCTGCCCTGGGGGCCGTAGCAGTATTTGGAGTCAGCAGTAACCATGGCCGTCTCCCCCACATCCATGAGCGGGACGCTGAGATCCAGGGCCTGGGCGTGGGGATAGCCGGTGGTCAGAGGGCCCAGGCAGGCGCAGCGCCCACCCTGCCCCTGCCTGCCTCAGCCCCCACCTGGATCACATCACAGTCGCCCAGGGTGAACACCAGCTCCAGCTCATCCTGCACCCGCGTGCCGTTCTCCAGCGATGTCTGCAGGTGCACGGTGACCACCTGGCCTTTGGCCGGGTGGCTGGAGCCAGGTGGCCCAGGGACCAGCGTCTTCTTCCTCAATAGCCCATTCCCTGCCAGAAGTCAGGGACACACATCTATCAGCAGAGGGCTCAGAGGGCACCCACTGCCCCAGCCCCAGCCCCACCCCCACCCCCAGCTCTGCCCACTCGCCATCTCAAACCGGGACACAGACTAAACTTCCAACAGTCACTCTGCCACCAACTGGGCACCCAGACACTGGGCAGGACCGGACCAATTTCAGGGGGATGACGCTGGCACTGGGTCTCCACTCAGTAAGCAAGAAAACTGAGGCTGGCCAGGCACAGCAACACAGGCCTGTGGTCTCAGTTACTTGAGAGGCTGAGGCAGGGGGAAAGCAAGTTCAAGCCCAGCCTGGGAAAATTATCATGACCCCACCCCCAAGAAAAAAGGAAAACCAAGGCTCAGAGATGGCAAAGGGCACTTAGGCTCAAACTCTAGCCCTGGGATACTTTGGCCTCAGTTTACCCAGTTACGCCCTGGGTGGATCACGGGCCTCCTGGCAGTGCCCAGTGAGCGTCTGTCTGCTGGTTTAGGTTACTCACAACGCCGTTATGTCTTTATCACAGCACTGTCACACTGAATTTAAAAGTCAGACAAGGCTGGGTGCGGTGACTCATGCCTGTAATCCCAGCACTTTGGGAGGCTGAGGCAGGAGGATTGCTTAAGGTCAGAAGTTCAAGACCAGCCTAGGCAATATAGTGAGACCATTTCTCTAAGGAAAACAAAAGTCAGGCGTAGTGGCTCAGCTTGTAGTCCCAGCACTTTGGGAGGCCGAGGTGAGAGGACTACCTGAGCCTGGGGGTTCAAGAATAGCCTGGGCAACTTGGCAAGACCTAGTCTCTACAATAAATCAAAAAATTAGCCAGGCACGGTGGCGCGCACCTGTGATTCCAGCTACTGGAAGGCTGAGGTGGAAGGATTGCCTGAGCCCAGCAGGTCAAGGCTGCAGTGGCCCTGAGTGTGCCACTGCACTCCAGCCTGGGCAACAGAGTGAGACACTGACTCAAAAAACAAACAAAAAAAAGCTACACAGATCTAATAACAAAAGTATCCCTGAGGCGCCCACAATTCCCCAAAGAAAACCACTGACTCCTCTTTCCACCCTTCAGCTGGTGTATTCTCCCACTCCCCCCACCAATCACAGGAATGGACAAACAGCTGCAGCCAACACCAAACATGCCGGCCCGAGGCTCAGCACCCTTGCAAACACACCCAGGAAGCATGACAGTGACAATATCCACTGCCACTAACACCCATGTGACAGCAGGAAATGGAGGCACAGGGAGGGCAGGTGATCTGGCCCAGGACACACAGCCCTGCTCTCCCTCAGGGTGCTCCCAAGGGTCCATGAGACTGAGTCTTGGCAAAGCAGGGGCTAACCCTGTGGGACGTGTGGGCCTGCCACAGTCTTTAGTCACTCATGTGCCCTCATTTACCTGTGCTGAGGATTTCACAAACACTAGCCTAGGGGCTGGGGCGGTGATGCGTCTATCCACGTTCTGGAATATTCTAGAATATTCCAAAAGCTGGGCTCGGTGGCTCAGCCTGTAATCCCGCGCTTTGGGAGGCCGAGGTGAGTGGATTGCCTGAGCCTGCGGGTTCGAGACCCACCTGGGCAACTTGGTGAGACCTCATCTCTACAATAAAAAAAAAAAAAAAAAAAAAATCAGCCAGGCATGGTAGCACATGCCTGTAATTCCGGCTACTCAGAAGGCTGCGGCGGAAGGATCGCCGGAGCCCAGCGGGTCAAGGCTGTGGTGGCCAGGAGGGGCCACTGCCCTCCAGTCTGGGCGACAGAGTGAGACTCCAACTCAAAAAAAAAAGAAGATGTAGAATATTCCATCTGCTGCTCCCCACCCTATGCATGCCCCTTAACCAGTCTGGGAACCACCAAGCAAGGGTATCCCAATGAACCCTAAATCTCGGGGCTCCTGGACACTAATGGTGGATGTGCTGGGAGGGTCACCACCAGACGCCATATCTTGCCTGGTGGCCTCGAGCTAAATCAATCCTCTCTCAAAGACTTTGTCCTTAACTGAAAAAAAAGAAGCCTCAATTCAGAACTCAGAAAACGGCCAGCACAGATATCCATACAGTGGCAGCCTCACGTGTAGAGGGGAAGTGGGGCAGTTCTCACTGTGAGTACCAGCAAAAGAAAACAGCTTCCCAAGCTCTCCTGTAGCCAGGGAGGCTGTGTGACCTCGGCAAGTGCCCTTACCTCTCTGAGCCTCAGTTTCCCCATCTGTTAAATGGGCATATAGTAGGAATCACATCACGAGGTTGTAGTAAGGATAAAGTAAGTTGATGCAGGCCAGATGTGTTGGCTCACACCTGTAATCCCAACACTTGGGGAGGCTGAGGCAGGAGAACTGGCTTGAGTCCAGGAATCTGAGATCAGCCTGTACAACATAGTGAGCCCTCGTCTGTACAAAAAATTAGCCAGCTGTGGTGGCGTGTGCCTGTAGTCCCAGCTACAGGGAGACTGAGGCAGACAGATCGCCTGAGCCCAGGAGTTCAAGGCTGTGGTGAGCCATGATCATGGGTGCACTCCAGACTGGGTGACACAGTAAGATCTAACTCAAAAAAATGAGTGTAAATGCACAGACTTGGCACAGAATCAGCATTCAGTATTACCTGGTGTTATTTTTAGGAGTACTAAGATTTTCTTCAGTAGTGGCAGTGATGTTACTAGCATCTGTTTTATCAGTGTATTGTTTGACACTAGATAGTGGTGGTAACGTCTGACTGCTGGTTGTGAGGGCATAGCGTTATCCAGTATACCTTGTCTCAGTACTACAATAGCAGCAACACATCTTCCCCAGAACACTAATATTTTCCTTGTTTTCAGAGTTGCCTGATGGGGTACACAAGGAGCCACCTATGTGAGTTCTTCTCATTTCTTTCCTGCAGGACTTCTCTGAGCATTTACAAAGCTAATGAATGCTATGAACCAGCCAGAGGGCCGAACAAAAGAGGAAGTTCCTCAGATCTACCTGACCCGAGACATATTTTTTTCCTTAGAGACAGGGGTCTTGCTCTGTCACCAAGGCTGGAGTGCACCCAGGACACATTTTTCAAAGGACAAACGTATGTCAGACAAAAGCTGAGAAAAGATGCATTGGGGGGTTGGGAGCCGCAGGCACCCCGGCATGCTGGCTGTGTGGCTCTGGGCAGGTGACTCAGCCTCTCTGGGCCACTGTTGGCAGCTCTGGGAAACAGGGACACAGCACACTGCGGTGCGTGTATGTGAGTCAATGAACAAGGTTCACAAACATGAAGTTGGCAATCACCATGGCTAGCATGTGGCCCTCCCAACCCTCCCAGCGAAGAGGGGACTAGGGAAGAGGCTCCAGGGCCAAGGTCCCTCCTGACCCTGAGCTGCCTGAGCCCAGGGCACCAATGTGACCCACCCTCACTCCTTACCCAGAATGTCCAGCCACTCTTCTGGGGCCGGGGCAGGAGCAGGCTCTGGCTCCATGGCAGCCAGGAACTCTCGCGCCAGGGCCCCAGGCTGCTCGGCCTCCTCCAGCGGGGGCTGCCCCATGTCTTCCAGCGGTGGCAGTTCACTTAGGTCCTCTTCCTCCTCCTCCTCCTCCTCCTCCTCACCCTCCGCATCTTCAACTCCATCCAGCACCTCGAAGTCCTCAAGGGGTGGGACACCAGCAGGCGGCGGGGCGGGCTCGGAGGGCTCGGCACAGGATGCCATGCTGTTGGGGGACAGAAATCAGTCCTGGTGTTGGGGGATGAATGGCATAAGAAACCCACCCAGCACCCCAAATCTGCTTGACACCAGTCCTGCATGCTGATGATCACTTGCTGTACGACTCAAGGGCTCCAGGCCTCTGCTTCCTCATCTATGCTGTGGATATAACAGCAATCCCAGCTCATTGAGAGGAACTAATCCACACATCAAGCCCTGGGCATCAGACACAGGTAGGGTTGGCTATTATCAGAGCTAATTACTATTTACTATTTAATGTTCCTAAACATCTCAGGAAGTAGGAAACATCCCCCCAACATTCCGCAGAAAAGGAAACTGAGACCAGAGAGACAAAGCCATTTGCCCAAGGTCATGGAGCAAGCCAATAGCAAAGGCAGGATTTAAACCTAGGGCTCCAGACCCTGGGGCTTTACCTGATTAAATGCCAAGAGTGCTGGGATTCGGGGGGGATGACAGCCCCTAAGGCCTTGGGGGAGCCATTTTTAGAGCCTCTGGGCCACTTGGGGAATTGACTCTTTTTTTTCTTTTGAGTTGGAGTCTCACTCTGTCGCCCAGACTGGAGTGCAGTGGCCG